CGGTCTGGACGCAGAGGCTAGAGGAAAAATCCTCTGCCCTCGTCGGGGATCGAACCCCGGTCGTCCAGCCCGTAGCCAGTCACTATAATGACTGAGCTATCCCGGCTCTCTCCTTCATCCTATGTATTATATAATATCTGCATTTCTATATGCGTCTGTATTCTATTACAGCGTTTCTACGGGGGAAACTAATTCTTTGTCGGTTAATGCGTACCATACTTTGTGGTAGAACCGTAATTCCACACCATGTGCTTGGGAGAAGATGAGTCCAAGAGACTTTGATAGGTTGTTCAGGACTGAGTTACATAAAAAGTCTGAATGAAATGAACATCCATTCTGTATACAGGTACACAGAAATAGACAGAGAAGGCTGTATCAAGATAGTATTTTGTTAGTTAACAATTTAGTCCTGTAGTGATTGCTGTGATAAAAACCTTCCATAATTTTCATATTGTAGCTGTGTTCGTAAACACTCACTTATTTCCGATGGTTCATTAGTCAACTGAAAGACAAAGACTTTTTTTTTTTTTTGCACAGCTCCCATGTTGTTTTATATTCTAGGGAGAAATTATCTTAGTAAAAGTTTCATATTTTTTAAATTACTTATTACAATACAAAATTTAAAGATCCAATATTTAGTGGTGTTCCAGCTTCATGTGTTTGTGTATCTGCCATGTTGTTATTAATTGTAGAAATTTAAAATATATGCGTATGGAGTCACTTCTGATGGCATAAAGTTCATACGAAATTTCATTAAAATGTGACCGGTGGTCCTGTACTTTAAACATGCGAACAGACGTGCAAGATCAGATCTATATGTGTATCATGCAAAGAACATGTAATAAACCCACATAAATATACTGTAGATGCTACTAGGTTTTCAGCTTGGTACTTAGTGAATAAGAAAGTTTGTATTTTTCAGTTTGCATTAAATGAACATGATAATGCCTTGATACAAAATTATTTTAAATTATATTGAACTATATCTGTCATTGGCAAACTGGAAAGGGACAGCATGAAGTGAGTTCAGATAGTTTTCTAAGAAAGGCCGTGTTAGGGTAGCGTGTTTGACATTTCACAATTTACAAATGAGGTTTCATTTCTTGAAGAAGGATTTTTTTCATATACCTGGCAGTGTTTATATGGCAGTGAAGCTATTAAGAAAACTAAAGTTGTAATTCATGTAAGTCTATAAACTGATGTGTCAATGATGGAAATATAATCCTGAGGTTATGTAAGGTTGTAAAAAAAAATTATTTGGATGCAGCGATTACAAAACAAAATAGTTTGCTGAAAAGCTTTGCGTCAAATTCTAAGTCTGTGGTACTTATGATTTGAAAAACTGTCTACATCAGCGTAATAATATTAAGCATATTCTTTCAAGCCTTTTTATGACACTGGATACAGCTTTTGTCCAAGGCAAATCACCGGACGCTTTTCTATTTATAAATTGTTTTTCAAATTGTTAATTTAGTTCAGCCCTTTTAATTCCAATTGCCCTATTCATACATGCTCATCTATGGATTTGTATGTGAGTCTATTGCTGTACCGAAAACTCATTTCATCCAAGAAGAGGGCTGAGACAAGTGCCACGTAGATACCTTAGCACATTGCTTCTGGGATGCAAATGTCCCCAGGGCGTACGAAGCTCTTGGACGTGGAACGTATGGCTTTGTTTAAAAAAGAAGAAAATGGAAGGGATGAGTAAATTGAAATACTAGTGGATTTGAGTGATTAACTGTGTGAGTATTATGGTGTTGATTGACCTTCAAAAAGGTGATTCAAATTTGTCTTTAATGTTGTAAATGTGTCCACTGTGAACAGTTGTATTCCGTACAGTATGACAAATGGACGACCGTGCACTGCACATGGGAACAGGCAGCAAAATTCTATAATGAACTAACTGCAGCATCTAAGTTAAGACTTCATGTTACAGATGCACTGCGCTCTGAAAGGAAAAGAAAGGCCGTCATTGACAGCGGAATTCAGATAAAGCAATGCGACCACCCAAATATGGCTTTTGCAGTAATGCGGAGCGAGGGATGCTGACGTTCAAAATGGAGGGCAAGTACAGAAATTATATCTATATCTTGCAATTTTTGAAAGTTGTGCATCTATTGTACCAAATTTTTTAATGTGCAAAGGTTTCTTTAAAAAGAAAACAGTCTAAGAGGTTTCAGGCACTGTCAGTGTGAACAAGTCTGGATGTCAAAGGGTTAATACCAGTGCCACATAAAGGCTTTAAAATTTTATTGTGAATAGATATGCTAGTAATAATTACATTTTCAGACTGTTACAATGCTTGCTGTGGGATAAATAGGGTTATCCTTCTTTGGGAAATTTGCTAATCTTTTACTAGACTGTGAGTCAGAAAAGGCTGAGAAAACTTCAGTGTGGAGTTCTGTGAAGTTTGTCACAATAATTTAGGTTCATATCATGTATCAGCATTCACAACCTGTGATTTTATGCATACTGCAGAACTTTCTGGGCTGTGCAAAGGTTTTATTGTGTTTGTAATCTGAATGGAAGAACAAGAATACTAATGTTTTTTTTTATAAAGTGTTAAAACTTTTCAAGAAATTTTCCCATCGTTAGCAAACTCGAAAGCTCAAATTCTATACTGAGCCAGTTCTATGTGCGTAAATATCTTGTGATCATTTTCATGCAAAAGATACCTGCGTCTCATTAAACACCATGCCATGAAGATGTATATTCTTAACCTTGGCGCTAGATGGAGATGAGTGGTCAGCTCGATACTCCAGTCACTTCATATATGGGGAAGAGTCCCCAGTACACACTGAAAACAAGCTGGTCTGAATGTGGAGGAAATGAAAAAAAAAACTCCCTTCCACTACTGAGAATTGAACCCTACTCATCCAGTCTGTAGCCCAGTTACTGAAGTGTCTGAGCTATCCTATCTTACTCTTCATCTTACCATATTATTTCCATAATAGAGAGTACTTTTGGAGATGAATGTATTACTATGCCTGTTGCTTGTCACTTTCTTCCCATATCAATTGCTGTTATAATATATGACCACTTTTAAATTTACAGCATAAAGTTTTCTGGCACTAAAATGGAAATAGATTTATATTAATATACTTTATTCTACCTGTCAGATATTTTGAAATGAAATACTATAAATTACATGATATTTAAAATCTGTTCATTGAATAAGCACTGATGTTTTCACTCTGTTAGAATTTAGTGACGCGGTAACATATATTATAAGCTCAGTGCTAATGATGGTCCATAATTTTTGCACCCCGCTGACTAAAATTTTTCCTTCTGATACCTTCTGTGTCAATATCGAAAGGAGAATCTTGATTCTCAAATAAAATTCTCGTGTGCCGTGCAAGAAGTTTGGTGGAAGAAAATAAACATTAAGATTTTTTTCCAAAATAATTGCATTTGAACAAAGTTCTTGAGTTTCACCAAGGAATGGCTGTCTCAGGATGTCAGGATATTGGAGATGAAGTTCAGTACTAAATGGTTATAATGTTTGTTACTCTACCACACAGTCTGTGTACCCGTGCCAGTATGTCGGCACTACTTGTGTTAACCACACACATACACAGCCTAGTGTCCTTCATATCAGGATTGTTTATATTAAACTACCTGACACACACACACACTAGCCAAGAAGCATTCCAACTTCACCACAATCTGAAACAAGCAAAACTGCACCACCACGTAGGCCATGTGAAACTGAGAGGGCTTGTGGTGAACAAGGTGCGGTGATAGAGTGAGTGACTTATGATGGCTGCTGCCAGGCAGCAGCAGTCTCTGGTGTTAAATGATGGATTCACGATTGCGTTCATTGTCCTCTGTGCTGCTCCCACCACTACTGGCTCCACAGATCTGCATCTCTATCTCTGCCAGGCGATGCTCAACCTGGTAGCATCATATAAAGCTTCTCAGTACACATTTAATGTTCTACTTCCTTGAATAATACGAGGCGCGTCCTCAAAGTAAGTTTCCCACTCGTCCCACAGCTAGCAAACCTTATATTGCGCGAAGCGACTGTGCGTACGTGATAGAGCAATGACGTAGCATGGCGCATGCACTAACGGCACCTCCCGCGTTCTCACAGTAGCATCGTTGCAGCTGTTGAAGATGGAGGTTCTTATTCCAGCCCCCGCCGACTGTGAAGTGCGGTCAGTGATAACGCTAGGCCGCACACGGCTCGACAGACAGCGAGTCTCCTGCAGGAGTTCAGCTGGGAGGTGTTTAATCATTCACCCTACAGCCCGGACCTCGCTCCCAGTGATTTCCATCTTTTCCTACACCTCAAGAAATTCCTGTCCGGTCAGCGTCAGCGTCAGCGTTTTGAGAATGAAAGAGAGGCGGAGATGGTTGTCACACAGTGGTTCCAATCCCAGGCGGCAGACTTCTACGACACAGGTATTCAAAAGTTGGTCCCACGGTATGACAAATGTCTCAATTCCGGTGGCGAATATGTTGAAAAATAGCTGGACACTTGTTGTATCTGTTGCAATAAATATTTCCATGAAATTGTGTTTTGTTTCTGTAAACGGCCCCAGGGAAACTTACTTTGAGGACGCGCCTCATATAAGACATAATTTTTCAATACTGATGCTTCTCTGTCATATCACAGAAAATCGTATCATGAAGAAAAAGATGCATACTTACAAAGACGATAATATTATGAATTTAGCGTTTTCTTATAACACGAGGAAAACAGGCTAAACGTACTACCACTTTTATTCTGTATGATACAATGCATGTTTTATTCTTCATTACTGCAACCACATACATTTATGAAAGGTATAATCTTTATGGACATGCCTTCATGTATAAAAAAAACACTTATGACTGAAAAAGTGAAACTATCGAATTCTGTAAGAGAAAATTAGTTGGTAACGCGGTCCATTTTCATACGTCACTATTTCGGTGGTAGGCAGTCGAAGCGTTAAATTCATGACTTGTCTGTATGAATGGAAACTAAGAGGTGAAAAGAATTTGATGTTATAGTAATATACCTCCCACTGTTGCTGGTTTAATTTGATGCTCATGGATGCATTCTCTGTTTCCAACGTTATAAGTCGCTCGCGCAAACGCTTGATCTCTGCTATTAAGGCCTCGTGTGACATTAGTGATGTTGTTTCCTTGTCATCATCTTCCTCTAGCTGCATCATGCTGTTACATGGTAACAGGTGACCTGAAAACAGTGAAACATGTTGTTATAATGAACTGTACTAGAAGTTGAAAATTTCTTTACTTAAGTAAGAGTCCGTTACAATGACAAGTAGCCGACTAGAATAGTATTAAATTTTTTGGGTAGTTTATTAATCTCTGGAATATCTGTTGTTGTGAGGCAGTAGTAATATAATTTTGTTCCTCCGAGTTGGTACTGTAAAATTCTGATTAATTTATAACACTTTGTGATGTAATAGGATCTCCCTGCTCACCGATCACACTTCCACTGGTTTGTGACGCATCACCAGCTTTCTTATCTGAATCTCTCACAGGAAGTCATGTTAAACTTACGCAACATTTTATTCTTTACCCAAAGAGACATACTTCGGGTCAATATCACTCCATCGTGTTCACATACACAGGAGCGAAAGAACTATCACAATCACAAGCAGTCATTTTGGAGCAAGTGAAAGAGAATATGAGACTGTGTGGTTAATCTGTAGCACTTATTAGAACAAGTCATTATTGTAGACCAGTGGTTCCCAAAGTAGGTGGTCGGCGCTAAAGTGGAAATGCATAAAAATCATGGGAGTGCTTTTTTATACTTATTGTGCACTAAAATACAAAACTATCAACTGTTTATAAAGTTATACAACAGTACAGTTGAGATGTCTAAAGATAGGCAGTCTGAGCACTAACAGTACCAGGTGGCGATACATGATTTGAAGCTTTTGCTGTGACGAAACTCAATAAAATCTTCTCGGGAAATCATCTGCATCTCTTTGTGTAACCATCTGATGTGACTGATTGCCCAAGAATATTTTCATGAGTTCCAGGTGGTATTCTGTAATGAAACTGACTGAGATCATTGGTAAGGATGGTGGTGAGATTATTGATAGGTCTTCTTACAGGTGAATAAAGAAATGTAAAATACACCATGTTGAAGGTCATACTATTGGAAATCATCGTGGACTTAGTTTATCAGAATCACCCAACACAGTAAATGTTAGAACAGTGTGCAGTGTGACTTTAAGTCATTGTCAGTAAAAGTATGGATTCCTGGTTTATAAAACAACCTAAAAGTGAGAGCATGGCTGTGAATGACTATAAGTCTTCAGAAGATATTTTGTGGTCAAACTATATCAGCATCTGAATGGATTCAGCATCAACCGCCACGGTGGTCTAGCGGTTAGAACGCTGAGCTTGTAATACTGGGGTCCCGGTTTCGATTCCCGGCGGTGCTCAGATTTACAACTTGTGTTGGGCATCTCAGAGTTTTCCTCTGGGGTTTCCCCGGTTTCTCCGTGGCATCTCAACAATTACTCCACTTTCATCATTTTGCGAAAAGGGGGTCACAGCAGGAGCGTTAAATGTTGCGGTCCCGGTCGAACCCATGTACTGATGGGTCGTTAATCCTGCTAACCACCAATGCACACCATGCTGAATGGTGTGTAGTGGATACGAAAAAAAAGCAGTGACTCTGACATGACATAAGCTGAAGTAAGGCAACTTCCTCCTCACATAAACTTCATACGTTACGTCACTGATAGAGAAGATTTAGCATTATGTGACCATCAACCACAATTACAGGAGAATGTAAAAGTAATGAACTTTGCGAAACCTTGCCCCTTGAACTCTCGCCTATTTGCAGTGTGTTGCAAGGAAATGCAGGCAGACCACAAATTATTTATATTGCATTAGGGGGTAAGGTGGTTATCTAGCGGCAAAGTTCTTACATGACTAGCTGAATTGAAAGAAGATGAATGATGCTTCGCTCTCCATTATCACCACTAGAATTGAAGTTAAATCTTCATACCACATGTAAGTAGAAGTGTGATAGTAACAGAAGAGGTCATGGATTTTTGGAATGTATGCACATGTAGCGAGTTTCCCTCTTTGCTGTTCGCCTCATACTGACAGCTTGCAAAACGTACCTGTAGTGGATGTATGAGCTGTGGGCAGGTCCCCACTAATTGGTGAGGCAGAAGAATGTTCGCTGGCACATGATGCAACAAGAGGTGTTGTCTCTAGCAGCTGTGTGAGGGTAGTACTTGCACCTATCCGGGCCCCTGCACCAGCCCCAGCGTGAACTTCTCCAGCACAAGACCCGTAACTACGCGAAGTGGAACCTGAAAATTTGAATTTTGATCTGGGTGAAAAAGTCTTCATTGTAGTCATTCACTGTCTTCAAAGGAAACTTCCACAGCAAAATCACTTCTCTTCAACCAGCTAACTAAAAATTTGCTATCAGCAGAGCTGAAAATGGGCATAAACACATGTAGATATCATTTATTTAGATCCAGAATGCCTTTTTAACTAAGCTATTTCTAGTTTCTTAAGACTTAATGACGAATGTCCCTACTCCTTAGTGCCTGATTGAGCACTGTGCCATGCATGTATATTGGGGGAGTGGAGGTATAGCTCCATGCATTCTTATCATTGGCACTAGATTAGGATTGAGAGTGTGCTTTACCTATGACAGATACCAGGAGCCACTGGAGAGGAGGTTCGGTGGACGTCAGAACGTGTCTGTATTAAGTGCTGGTTTCTATTTTAATCTTCATTCATGTTTCAAGTTCATGATATAAGAATTGTGTACCACAACATAAAACAAGTTGAGATTTATTAACAGCCACAACTGTAAATGGGAATTTAACATTTCAATATTCAGTCATTTTATGCAAAGTTTTTATTTGTAAAATGAAAAATTTTGAGAATTATTTTATGTCAGTGAAACATATAAACACATATAAATATAAGAATAATTATGGTGATGGAGTAATATGTATAATTTTATATGTTTTCAAGAACACAACAAAATGTTTCAGTATATTTTTCAAGTGGGCAGATCATATTTGAAGTATCAGTGCCCGAAATGACAACGGAATTGAGATCCAAAGGAACGTTTGAAGTATCAGTGCCCGAAATGACAATGGAATTGAGATCCAAAGGAACATAAATGATTTGAAAACAAACATGCTGG